CCATGGAAACTGTTGCTAATCAAGCGAGAAGTAAATAAAAAAACAAAAAACACTAGTTTGATAACCGTTTCAAAGAGATCCACTTTACCCACAATCTACATCATTAAAAAATATTTAAAAAAAACGAAGTCAAGAGCACCGCAATAACATAAATATAATAATAGATGATTACACACGACAATCTATATAAAAACATAAGTATATAGATAATTTCTATGAGTTTACATGTATTTTGTACACAGAAATTTAAAAAAAGTACAGTTTCGAAAATTATCAAGATTAGACGATTAACGCTTCGAAAAGTATCGATTCCGATTTTTCAATTAAATTAATTGCTTTAAAGTCCTTGACAGCACAAATATACAAGAATGTATACTAAATCTCAATTAAGTGTTTTTTCTCTCTTTTCAATTAATTATATGCTAATTAATTGTATTTTGTCTCGTCCAAACTGTTTTGTTACGAAACTTAATTTGATAAGGTTTTATATGCTTGCAGCGTCAAACTTCCTTTCAATTACAGACAGTGTTATAAATATTTCAATACTAATTGATTACACGATAAATAAAACGTTGTTATCCCCAAAAAAAACATGTCAATCGATGAATTATATTAATAAACTATGTAATTCGTAAACGTCGAAAACTTATTTATTTGTTACTGTTCGGAAAAAAAAAAACATAATTACAATTTGTCAAGGAAAATCCGCAAAAAACTGAAAACAATTTGTTCGAAGTCTACGTTACCGTTCAATTTCAAATATAATAGATTTTTTTTCCATTAGCAATTATAGGTGCATAGTCTAACAACCAGGTTAATAATTAACGTGAATTTCCTATATCCTTTCCAACTATTTATAACTTTTTTTAACTTTATTGTTAATTCCAAAATGCAAAGGAAGAAAATTAACAATAATTTTGAAAAAATTAACAACACATTTCAAACATTAAGACAAAAATTTTAACTATTTTTTTGTAGTTGTAATTATAGCAGAAATCAAACGTTTCATAACGTATTACAAAATTGATTTTGTTCATTCATTTAACCCAATTTTCATGAGTTTATCGTGAAAGAATAATGGACTTTTAAACATTATTTTTTTCGACTTTTAATAATTAATTTTTATATAAATAATGTATTTATTTGCTTATCATTATGCGTCGCATTTAAATACATTTGCATTTCGTTATCTGTGCCCACGAGTTGCGTAAGAAGCAACCAAAAAAAAAAACAAAAATTTAATGCTAACCTTAACGATTGTTAAATCGACTGTTAAAATTATTCAATATGATTTGTTAAAAATGAACGACTTCTATTTTCTTTCTTTCTTTTTTTTGGTTTGTTTCGAATTGTCTCTGCGGATGGAGCAATCCGAAATAACGAGTCTTAAGTAGACTTGACACTTAACAGCTACATTGAATTTCCAGACGGCTTATGGAATACGCTGATTGTATTATTTGTTTGCCCGCGATTCTGATTAAATCGACCGCTTTTTATATGGAGATGGTAATGCAACTTGTCCATTTATTACTGGGAATTCCAATGAATTCTTTTTTAAATGATACAATTATTATGTGTATTAAAACGATACTTGACAAGTAATTCACTATTGTTGTTATGAAAACCACATACTTGACAAGTATTGGATAATGTATATGCAGTTAAAGTAAGGTTTAAGTTTAATGATAAATTGAATGACTAGTACTTGGCAAGTATATAATAATTTAAGATGTTTTGTAATAAATTTAATGTTAGTATTGGGTGAGTAATGTATATATACGTAAAGTGAGGTTTAACTTTAATTGCAAATTTAATTTTATCCTGTATTGGCTAATAAAACAACACATAATACATGACAAGTACTTGACAAGTATATGGTTATGTATACATATTCAATTGAAGTTGTAAGTTTAATAATTAATTTATTGTTAACGTGTAAATGTATTAGCAAATAAAACTGCACATGTTACTTGACAAGTATTTGTTAGTATTGGGTGATTAATGTATATTCACTTAAAGTGAGGTTTAACTTTAATAACAAATTGAATTTTAACCTGTATTGGCTAATAAAACAACACATAATACATGACAAGTACTTGACAAGTATATGGTAATGTATACATATTCAATTGAAGTTGTAAGTTTAATAATTAATTTAATGTTAACGTGTAAATGTATTATAAAATAAAACTGCACATGCTACTTGACAAGTATTTGTTAGTATTGGGTGAGTAATGTATATTCACTTAAATAACTTAATAACAAATTGAATTTTAACCTCTATTAGCTAATAAAACAACACATAATACATGACAAGTACTTGACAAGTATATGGTAATGTACGCATTAAGTTGTAAATTTAATAATTAATTTAATGTTAACGTGTAAATGTATTAGCAAATAAAACTGTACATGCTACTTGACAAGTTTTTGTTAATATTGGATGAGTAATGTATATTCACTTAAAGTGAGGTTTAACTTTTATAGCTAATTCAATTTTAACCTATATTGGCTAATAAAACAACACATAATACATGACAACTACTTGGCAAGTATCTGATAATGTATACATATTCAATTGAAGTTGTAAGTTTAATAATTAATTTAATGTTAACGTGTAAATGTATTAGAAAATAAAACTGCACATGCTACTTGACAAGTATTTGTTAGTATTGGGTGAGTAATATATATTTACTTAAAGTAAGGTTTAACTTTAATAGTAAATTAAATTTTAACCTGTATTAGCTAATGAAACAACACATAATATATGAGAAGTACTTGGCAAGTATTTGGTAATATATGCATATTCAATTTAAGGTGTAATTTTAATAATAAATATAATGGTAACGTGTAAATGTATTAGCAAATACAACTACACATGCTACTTGACAAGTATTTGTTAGTATTGGGGAGTAATGTATACACTTAAAGTGAGCTTTAACTTGAGTAGCAAATTGTATTAGCTAATAAAACAACACATAATACATGACAAGTACTTGGCAAGTATATGTATGTATATTCAATTGAAGGTGCTACTTGACAAGTTGTTAGTAATGTAAATTCACTTTAGGTTTAAGTTTCATAATAAATTTAATTTTAACCTGTAAATTTACACATAATAATTGGCAAGTAACAAGTAGTTTATATGCAATAAGGTAAATTTAATTTACATAAGTAATTAGGTACACAAAAATTGCTTAATAATTGTTCATTATTAATAACTATTAAGTTAAGTAGGTTAAGTAAATGACACCAAAACTAATCTACTCGCTTGTCTCTAATCACCTATAAATAAATAGAAAAATTACAAATATTGCAATAACGTAAGAATAACATCAATTAACTGAAATCTAAATATTTAAAAGTGTTTTTTTTTGTGAGTTTATGTTGTACTAAATTATGTATACCGATGTATTTAAATATTAATGTACATGTCTGTTGAAGCACCGCACTTTTTCGAATTCCTTACATACATATTTTATTTGTCTCTCTATTCCTAATAGTAATTACGTGAAAAAAAAATATGTATAGTGTGTATTGGTTAATGTTGGTTTCCAGCACGATTCCGACGCATGTATGTATTATTATTATATGCACATAGAACAGAGTCGATCGGAAAATAACCTTCACCGTAAATTATTTATCAAAACTATTTTTAGTCCTTAATTATTTAGTTGCATATTGTAATGCGTTAAGATCAATACCAGAAAAAAACATATATTCAATACGTGTAATGGACACGGCTAAAAGTGATTAGATAGTTAAGCACGATTTGGACTAATCTAAGCTTGAAAACAAAACAAAAAAATTGTTATATAATTGATCAAAAATGTCGGTTGATTTTTGTTGATTCTGTACATTTCTTTACTTTATGAATAGATCAATCTTAGGTATGACAGGCAAAATAAAATTCTATTGAATTCAGCTACAACAGTCGAGAAATGAGTAAAACAAAAACTACAAGAAACTAATAATTATAGTGCCAATCACCTTACATAAAAAATAATGTGTTTATATAAGTGTCTATGATTCTGGTTATTATTAGATTACTGTATGAAAACAACAATTTATAATGATATTTCGACAATTACACAAGTACAGTGGAACCTCTCTTAACGAGCAAAATAAATTGTAAGAGAAATGACTTCAAAATATTGTTTCACTATGCGAGTAAACTGATTGCATATTTTAGTCTCGAATCAATGAAATTAAGCCAAGTTTCGTTGTCTACTTTGCATATGAAATAATAATGATCAGATTACACATATTTTTTATTGGAAATAATACGATTCAGGAGGTTTAAAAACTGGCGGTTTTCGATCCAATTCGACAGATACACGGAGATTCTGTTTCATCGGTGTACGTTACATGTCTTAAACTAGGCTCACATTGGTTATTCACTTTCTTGCAGATGCGATTTCAACCCTTAAGATTAAATGATTTATAAGCAATTACATTTCGTTTAAAGTTGATTATTTCTTGTAAAATGTAACGTTTTCAAAGCATAATAAACCGTTACAGTTAGAAATCCATAACTAATGAATAACGTTAAGTAATTTAGAAATTAATATTGTTATAATATTCGTTCAAGTTTTTAAAATCTTGTTGTTACTTTAAACGAGAATGATTTAATTACGTCTAAAATTAAGCAGTTTTCTTCTATTTAATTAATTGCGGAATTTTAAGTTTGGAACAACTTATAAAAATTACCTGTTTAAAAACGGATTATTTTGCATGAAATTTCCAAACTTCAGTAATGATTTTTATAAAAAAGAAATGGAACTGTAAACATAATAAATTATATATTTTTTTTATTACTTTAATAGTTGTATTAATTACTCTTTATTAATGACACTGAATTGCAAATGAGAATTGGTTTATGAATGAATGATGTTTCTACTTTTTCTTTCTACTTTTCTACTTTTTCTGTAAATTTGTTTTCATTGAAGAACATGTTTTCTGGGACTTGCTTATTGATGTTAATTTATTTCTGGTCAATCACCTGAGAAGTGGGGAATTTTGTGTGTGTTGTTTTCGAAGATTTTTCGGTATTAAATTGCGAATTTTCGTTTCAGTGTCTCCATGCATCATGCAGGGATCCAATACGGACAAGAGCACATGTCCGCAAATCACATGTCGGCGCAGCAGCAGCAGCAGCAACAACAACAGATTCACCAGCATCAGCAACTGCAGCAGGGTCAACAGCTGCAGCAGCAATTTAATGGATCGGATTTATCAGTGGTAAAGTTTGTTTTGTTTCCTTTCGTCTTGGGGCAACGACTAGAGATGCCCCAAGAGGTTGTCAAATGGTTGTGCAAACGTTGCTTCAATTATCGTTGGTCAGGTGTTAAATAGAAGTCTCCTTTTAGTCTGTTTCCGCGTGTGCTGCGAGCCATGCAGCAGCACACGTCACGATCCGTTTCCGTGCCTATTGATTTCCCCGGAATTTTGTAAACAAACGCGACTTTGTTTGATCGAAGTCCGCTTTACACTAGTCTTTTTAACATCGGTTGTCCTCTTCCGCAGCAGCCTGGTGTTTCGACGACGACGTCGCTTAGGCAGTGGAGGAAGAAGGAGGCTGTCATCGAGAAGCCGTTACCAACGGATGCGAACAGCAAAGAACCTATAGCCAGAGTCGCACCGCACGCCCACTATCCCAGACCGAGCGAGCTGTATCCGTACCCATCTCATTATCCAGAATATGGGTAAATAAATACTAAAAACCCTATAGATTCTTACAATTAAATTATCATTTCGTTTTTGTCAGAATGCAGTACAAAGACATGGCTTCGACGCCTGTGAAGTACTCGGAGATCGTAGAGCCCGCCGCCCACCACTTAACCCATCAAGTGATTCAGAAGCCCAAGGAAAAGGAATTCCTGGAGATGTGCAGCATGCAGCAAACGCAAATGAAACATTCCTATCCGATGATGCCTCAATACGTCCACAAAGAATCTCAAATGCACTACATTCCCAAAGAGCCGACCTTCCCGTCGCCCTACCACATGCAGAACTACAAGATGCAGACCAACCAGTACCAAAGGCAATACACCAACGAGTTCCAATTGGCTCTATTCAACGAGCGCCACCTGCAAGAGCCGCAGCTCTACCAACAAAACATGGACCAAAGAATGTACCAAAACCAGAGGATGTACCGTGTGCCGAACTACAGGCCTCAAGCCCTAAATCCCACCTACCAATCGTTCAACTACAAACCGAACGTGCAGAATCCCGACTCTTACCGCATGCATCCGTACCAACAGAACATGCAGAACTACAAGATACCCACAGGGCTTGATCCGATTGCAAGGAACATATCTCCGAGACGCGTCTATCCGGACAACATGAACTACCGTCAGAGTCCCAACAACTATAACTGCAATCAACTCGAGTACGCGCAACACTACCAAAACCGTCGCATCGTCCCGGATTACACGACGAGCAAGTATCCACAAATGCCTGACATAGTTCCCGAATCCAACGCGAAATCCTCCCTGAAACAATACCTGGAGAACTGGAACGACGACATCCCCGACATCCAAGAGTCAGACGATAAACGCCTGAAAGACAACAGCTTATACATTCTGGATTCCACTGAAATTCCCACAGAAAACATCCAGCAATTCATCCATCTGCACGTCGACAAACTCCCGGAGAACATCAAGGGTTACATCAGCAGCAACGTGATAAAACCATCGCCGGATCCTCTGAATTTAACCCAAGAAACTGTCATCCAGGACTCGAGAAACTCCAGTCCCCAAATCTCAGTGATTTCAGAAACCAAAAAATCCGAGCAAAACACAGTCATCGTCTACAACAACGACAATAAACCCGAAGCGACGGTCATCAAATCTCAAAAGCAGAAACTCGAAAGCACCGAGGACATCCTCAACGAGGATCTGCTTAGCGAAGGGCTCAATTTGAAAAGTAAAGAGAGTTTGGAGATGCTCGACAAAGCGCTCGAATTTGATGACAGCCAATCCGACGAGCTCAAAAGTCTCGAGGATGAAATCATCGAGCATTACAACAACAGCGTCGGCTCCACAAACGAGGAAGAATTGAAAAACGCTCAAGAAATCATCGGCGATGAATTGATGGACAAAGCTGTGAAAACCACACAAGATAATCCAAAATCTGAGAATCAATCAGAAATAATTGAAGAAAAACCCAAAGAGGAAGATAAACCAATCAAAAGCGAAACGACGGATATAATCGATGACCTTTCAATTCAATCGGAATTGGAACCAAAGCTTGAGGAATCCACGATCAAAGAAGAAACTTCTAACATAATCCCTGAATATAAGCAAGAAACTGTTCCAATCAATGAAGAAAAAAGGGACCCCCAATTCGATACCAAATCAATACAAACTGAAGAAAAGGAGGAACAAATTACGGCGCCGATATCTCTCGAAAGTAAGCTTATTCAAACTGAGAGCAACGGCGAGAAAATTATTAAAGACGGTGCGAAGATCATGAAGAACATCGCGATGCAAACCGATACGGAGAAGCAATTGAAGCCGAACTCTGAGCCGTCCATGCAATACCTCAATTTGATCACTAATGATAATCATCTGCTCGTCCAAATCGCAGGTGAAATATTGGAAATTAAAGTTTTGAATTCGGTGGGAAAAAAGTTTATTTCCGTCGTTTCGTTTACGGATTGCAATATCATCGCGGAAAACAACAACAATAACAGTTTGGAGAAGTCGAAAAGCTACGAGTTGCTTCCAGCCGAAGATTTGAATTTGGAGACTTCGGTCATCAACGAGATTGAAATCAGTGGGGAGGAGACGGAAGTACTGGATGTTAAAATAAAGAAGGATGAATTACAGGAATGTCCGAAACTTGAGGTGAAGGAAGAAAAAGCGAAGATTGAAGAGAAAAGTGAAGTTTCTGAAGTTAAATGTGAAAAAGTCAATCAGGAAGTTGAAGTGCCATTAGTGGATGAAATATTTGAAGAAGCCAATGGCGATGTTAATTTAGTATCAGAAGAAATTACTTTGAAAGATTTTGAGTCAAATGAAGAAATTGAAACAGTATCGAAAGATGCAGAAACTGTGACGGAAGATGTAGTAAATATTGAAAAACTTGAATCAAATGATTTAAGTGAAAAGGATCCAATTCTAAATGATTTAAGCATCTCACAAAGTACTGATAATGTTAAAAAGGTTATCTGTATGGAGATTGAGAAGAGTAAAGATTTTGTTTTAAAAGAGCTTGAATCTAGTTCAATTGTTAAAGAGATTGTTCAAGAACTGCAAGATAATGTCGTTTCTTCTAAGATCGAAACTAAAGAATTAACGGATAAAGAAACGAAAAAACGTTCCTTGGAAAGTTCACCTACTGAAAAAGTGCATAAGAAAAGGAAATTAAGCAGCAGCTGTAGCAGTAAAGAGCCAAAGAAGATATCGAAAATGGAAGAACGTAAATCGACGGAGAATAAAGTTAAATACAAGATTCCGAAGAAACGGTCTTTCTCTGATAGCGTGGACGTTAAAAATGATTCGATATCGAAACCGTTGGAAGCGAAATTCTTCAGCTCAAAACACAATTTCAGCATAATTCCGAAACGGGATAGTCCAGTGATCAAGTCTCCAATACCGCTTAACAAAAAGTTAACTTACTTGGCTGAACCAACGTCTATTCAAAAATCGCCAACAAAGGAAACACCTGTAAAAGAAATAATACCTGTAAAGGAACCGATCAAGGTGAAGACCAAAGCTGAACTGAAAGAAACGTCGCCTGTGAAACCTGTATTGAAAATTACTAGTAAGCAACCGGACTCCGGTAAGAAAAGATTAAGTCTAGAAGAGTATAAGCGAAAAAGAACGTTGTCGGATAGTGAGGATCTTAAAAAATCTGCAACCACTGCGATACCGAAAACATTTACACCAATTGTTAAGGAGACGAAGGAATTGGGTAAAAGTCTGTATGGAGATATAAAAACGGACTTTGAAGACACTCTGAACAGAATACTGGATTCGAAGATACGCGAAGAAGGACTGGACAGCGTTAAACCCAATTTCGTGTGCGATAGCGCAGCGTCAAAGCAAAATAACACGGTTCAAGAACCAATGACCATAACACCAGCTGATAACAATAATAAGTTCGTTAGCAATACGAAAACAAACTGCAGATTACCAGAAGTTGTTGTACCGAAGGATAAGTGCGATGTTGTAAACAACTTCGATGTAATAAAACCGAAAATAAATGAGCAGAATGAGTTGATTCAATCGACGGATAGTAAGATGGATGAATTGGCCAAGAAGATCGACGATATTTTCAGTCAAACTTTCGGAAAGAATCGGCAGAGCCGGACGGTTTACAAGAAGCTCAACTTGAATCTGGATACTTTGAATCCGTTTGGACCAAACAAGGTGCGTGAAATCATCAATTTGGATGAAATCTCCGAGGATCTGAAGAGGAATCAGACACGTACAAATCAAATAACGAGTGAACGCGCACCGCAGAAGATCGACAAGGATCTTTTCAGTTTGGAAGATAGCAGATTGGAGAGTGTTGAGAATCGCAACGCGATAACCGAGAAGCCTTTACCTAGTGCCTTGACAACTTTCGAAGAGAGTCGAAATAAAATAATGAAGTTGGAGGAGCGAATGCTCAGGAAAACGGTCATCTGCCAATTCGACGAAACTAAAAGTGAACAAGTCCAATCGACGAATGAGCTGATCAAAGATTTGGAATCAACCATAGCTGAAATCGACGAATCTAAAGTGACGGTGGATTCCATTGAGACTCCCGAGGAGGCAAAGAATAGTGAAGTTGAGATTCCAAAAGCGCCGGAACGTTGCGAATCCGACATCATAGAATCTGTGATCGATTTAGTTGAAGTTTCCGAGAGTGTGAAAAGCGACATTTTAGATTTAAAATTAGACGATTTTAGTGCAATAACGAATGATGGTTTTGTTGTGGAAGAAGTTGAAGTTCCTGTGTTGCGCGACGAAGTAGAAATGGAAGTTGTGAAGAAGGATGAGGCGCTTTCGAGTCCTGTAAATTGCTCAATACCCACGTGCGAAGTGGACTTCCCGACGCTGGAGATGATCATGTGTAAAATACCGCAGACGGAAGAGGAAATGCCGGTGCTCAGTCCGCAGATCCAGAAGCACTCGAGATCTCTATCAATAAACGACATATCAAAGAAGCTGATGGATATGTGTACGAAGGACATGTACGCGAAAGAAATCTGCATGAAGGATAAACCCACGTACATCCGGTACGACTCTGAAGATTTGAAGTTGTACCTGAAGAAGATCCCCACCGTCAGCACCGAAGTCCAGAAGCAGAGGAGGCAGCGTCGCAAGAAACGCTTCAGGAATCTTCACTCAGCAGAATCCGAGCCGGAGGACAGCGCTTCTATAGTCAAGGACTACTCCGTCTTCGAGAGCAAGAACCAGAAGGGACTGCCCAAGCTCATCATCAAGAGGAACGTCAGCGAGTGTCGAGACAACAATCTGCAACCCGTGGTCCGGCTGGAAAGGAATCCGATCCTCGATCACCTCGCAAAGCGGAAAAGGAAACATTCTTAAGTGATATTATTTAGAGAGAAAGAAAGAGTAATTTAATCAAGAGAGAGAGAATATATTACATATATTATATCAGATTCGAAGAGAGAAATACGTATATTTTTCTATATGCAAAGGCCACTTTATTTAAAACAAACAAAGCCAAAGAAAAAAAAGAAACTAATAGTTTGTTGAATCGGTACAAATTGTTATAGACAGCGAGTCAAAGAGTTTATACTATAAGAGAACCTGTTGCAATCGCGTGTTAAGTTTTTACATACGTTTCTTTATTCCTCCCAATTAAAATTTAATGAACATTACGTAAATCTAATTCAATGTAAATACATATAGGCGATGATATTTTGAGAGTGACGCAAGTTGTTTTTTCTTTTGTTCTTCAGTTTTTTTTTTGTTTTTGTTTTTGTTAATTTACTTTATACATTTTGTTTTTTTCTTCTGTTACGGTGTTACGAAAAAGAATTTATATGAAATGACAGTATTATTATTAGCAGTTAATTTAATTTAAGTTTTGTTACTTTTTTTGGGGATCAGTGCAATTGTTTTGCTCAGGTCGCATCAAGCTTTCGTTATGTAAAAACAAAAAAAAAAAGATATATTATTTGATACAATCATTTGTTTTTTTTTCTTTTGGGACCATATTTTTATTCGGGCATTATTCGAATGTGAAATGAATATAATTTAATTTTGTTATAACTATTATCTAAATATTATTACTTTGTTGAGATTTTGTTTGTTGCTAGGGTTACTCCTATTTCCTTATCCTTATTCTTCTTCTTCTATGTTTCTATTACTTTTGTTTTGTACTACCATAGTTACCGCAATATTTAAAATATTTGTATGATAAAAATTGTAGGAGAAAAACAAAAAAAAAAATCAGGAGCAAAATCTAGTTAAGGAATTGAGTTTTTTTCTTGTGTTTCAGTTACTAAAGAGAACATTTCAAATGAAACCGTTTGACGTATTTATATAAATAATATACATGAAGAGTATTTTCAGAGTTTTATATTATATAACAAAAAAAAAACATATAAGAGTATATATATATATATATTATGATCAGAGAGTGCCTTTTCTACACGTTTCGTTTCTTTATGTTTCTGTGTAAATTGTCAGGAGTACAAAGATCAGTCAACTTCTCTTGGTGATTTTGTTTAGTACTTAAAGTACTTTATTCACTGTGTTATAAATATATTAATAAAACGAGTACAGTTGCCTTTCATTCATTGCCTATCCATCTCCTTTCGTACAGATAATTCCAGAAATAGTTTATGCATACAAAACATAAAATTATAAATAAATTTTATCTACGACTTATAACATTGACAAATCACGTCTATTAATTTTAGTTTCTAAATTATAATGTCCTTTTTATTACAATATCTTTGATCCACTTAAAAAAAGCTATTTAGTTATCCAGGTTAATAACTTGTCAAATAGAAGATGCAACAATTTTAAATATGTTAATGTTACGATTAAAATTAACGATGAGTTTCTTGTAATTATGATTATGCAATACCGAGTTAAGTGTAAATCTAGTTCGATGCATTTGCTTCAATTACGAGTTCATTCAATGTTTGCTCTTTGTAATCTGGATAGAGATAACAAAGCCGTAGATAATAGAACCCATTGAGAAAACGAGAAAACTTGAAAACCCACAGTGGCGTAACGTCAAGATGGATTTCACTAATTCTAAATGTATCGTCTACTGTCAATAAATTGGATAAACAATAGATTCTTTTGAAATAGTTGGTGCTAAGTGGGTTGCCTAAATCTAAAGTTCGTAACCGCTTGTATTATTATGATTTGTTCCCAATTAATTGGAGGTCGCACGACGTAATCTCTTCTCTTATTGACTTATTATTAATTCCTCTTGCCGTTATCAATTCAATATGTGCCAGATATGCCAGCCCGGTTGATTGTAACATATTAAGCTAAATTGAATCGATTAAGGTCCTTCCATCTGCATTCCACGTAGCTTGGCATTACGTCCTGTCCCGAATCTTAATCTGATCCATACGAAAACCGGTTATTTGCAGGTTTTCAATTAAGATTGTTATTGATTTATTTTGTTGCTATTATTGGTTTGGTTTAGCGCAGATTTCTGTTTAGGTTGGTGGTCTGCAGGCGAATTTTTTTCGTATAGATCGATGGGAGTGGCGTGAACGTGCAAGTTTGTTGGGACGCGGTAGGTAGGGGTGTTACGTAAAAATTTTTACGTTACGTCAGTCAGATGGTCGACGTTTGGGTAAAATCACGTTCAGTCCGGTGGTGAAAATTTTCTGAAGAAGAGAGCAGCAGTAATTTCGTGCGGCAGAGTCAGAGAAGAAACCCCCTTGGTGGTGTCGAGAAAATTTTAAAGTCGCCGACTATGTTATCAATTTGTAAACAGACCTCATCGAGCCTCCAAAGGTCAGTACTTTAATTCTATTGCTATTATATTATACTTTTATTTTACACAATAATATTCTGTGTATTTTTGGTATCTTATTGACATATTGATAAGATTACGAGCGCTGTCGCCGCTTCCATTTCGAGCCTTCCTCATTTACGCGCTCAGCTTCCGAAGGATTGCAACTGCTCCTACCCAAAACCCTTTAATTTAGCTACAAAAGAGCCCTAACATTCTTTTTAAAAAAAAAATCCTCAAACTTGTCCAACCTTTGGAGGTTAAACGCTCGACGACCATTGCTGCGCGAGCGTTCCGCACGTCCTGGAATTTTCCACAAAAGCAAAATCGATAACACCACCGCCCAGGACAACCCACCAAGAAAAGAAACACCCAATTCCTAACGCAAAGAAAAAAATCATCCAGTTGCATAACAGGATAATCGCGTATTTATTTCTGGAAACCAAATTATATAAGCGCTCATTTTTGTTTTCTGCGTAAAACAATACAGCTCATCCCAGTTGCCATGACGATGCTAATTACTTGTGTTTTTGTTTCGGAAATTCAAAACGACGGTTAGCGGGGTTGGCCGTTCGAGGGCGCTCGCTCCTTCCGAAAAATCAATGTTCCCTTACCCCGTTATGCGTTGCGCTCTTACGCAACCACGCAAAACGCGAATTGTAATTATATTTATGTGCGTCATTGTATTTTGTTGGCCTTAACCGCCAAAATACCTAGGATGCCTAGGACGTATCTTCTTTTGTTCCGAGAGTATCGAGGTCAAAGGAACATTGAATAATATGCAATTATATGCGCGAGCTGACTTATTTTTAGTTTTGGATGATGCCCCGGCTTCAGGTTCCATCCAATTTGGAGCATTAACCACTGCTGGAATGGCCATGAAATGATCGCAGCAATTATTTGATAAACGATTCGCTACTTAAGTTGCACTCGTCGTGTCAATAATATGCATATTTTGAAAGCGAAATTCGCCGACGTCGCCGCCTGCCGTTTTGCAAATCAATACATTTGCTGGACGCATTTTATGGGCGAGGTCGATCCCTATTTTCCTTCATTGATCCAACCAGATTGTCATAAGTTAGTCTAATTTACAATCGATATCATCGTTGTAACATCAAAGAATTATCACGACTATTTTCATTTGCATTCTATTTTCAATTTCGAATCTGCGACACACTAACAACTAGGAATAAATTTAAATATTTGCAAAGAAACAATTGGAGAAAAAAAACATCTAGCAATGGAATATTTCCTAGCAGCAACAACACACAAGTCGCTTTAGAGGTCGTTAAATCATTGTTAATATAAAACTACTGTTTTTTTCTTATCTTTATGCTATTCCTATATATTTGTAATAATAATAACACTAAAGCAAAGATCTTGCGTAGTCGTTGGAAACCATTTGTAAAATTACATAATCTCCTAATGCAACGGAATATTTAGACAGATTTAGTTCTTTAATTATATAAAATTAAAGAAAGAGGCGATTTACGTAACGACGCGTTAACAAGGAAGCAATTTCCCGTGGAGAATAAAAGTAATACGCTTTGTCTTGGCCTTGGATGTTATTGTTGTTTTTATTTTGATCTCGCGCAAAGCGTAATTTCGATTACAAACTGTAACTCATTAGCTGCGAGCGATGGAATTGTTTCCTTTCAGTCGAAGGTCTGCAGATGTAATTACGCGTTACGCGGAAAGTAAAATTATAGAAGCATTGACACCAATACTATTTTATTGCTTAGATTTCCAATTGATTAGTAAATAACGCATGATTTACCTAATTATTAAATGCGATTATTAAGCAATAAGTTTTAGAAAAGTAATTAATAGCTCATCCATTTAATTGCCTCAAAAATTACGAAATTATTTTAAATTTGTTGTTGTTTTGTGTGGAAATATTGATCGGGTTATTGGACTGCCTTCAATCGAATAATTGCTGTATTTTTTTGTATTCTTGTTGTTGTACAGACGAAAGTTCATCGTAACTGTTGTGATCCTCCGAGCAGAAATTCGGATCGAATTAAGCCAAGTGATTTGTTTTTTTTTTATGTGAATATAACAGTACAACCACATTCGCGTGTATCGAACGCGTATTGTTGTTTGCAATTTCGATCGTTCAGCACATTTCGAACGTAGCCAAGGCTGTTTCAATTCCTGGAGTGCGCGAATGTTGTATGCTATGCCTCTCCACCATCAGCGTAACTTGAACGAAGACAGATTTATTCGGAAGGTTTGTGGCTATAAGAGAGATGGGAATAGTCGGAGAGAGGATACGGTCTGAAAAATATTATATATATTAAAAGGAGCGTTAATTATAGGTGATACTGTAACCTTAACTAATGACGGTCAATTTCTAATAATACAAATTCGCATTCGGCCTTGGCTTGAAACCAACTGGATTTGTTGCAAACGGACAAATAATGATTTGTGTGTGAAAGTTTGGAGTATATGCAAATCCGTACACTTTCACTGTACGCTGTATGTTATGTTTATTTAATAATAGAGTTTAGTTCTGAAAATTGCAAACGTTATTTTATATATTAACGAAACTTAAGTATTGTTACAAATGTTTCGTTATTTTCGGAAGATTCTGATTTATATTTAGATAGTCTCGTGAGTGGGTGTCGCGAAGTGGCCCAGTAAAAGCCGTGTACACCAGTTGCGTAATTTACAGTTTAATATTCCGTAGTTGACCCGACTAATCGATTCGACTCTTTTCGCGCGATAAGATAATAACCACTTGGGTCATACTCACCGGAAGCTCACGGTTTTTCGTTTGAAGGCATTGTATAAGTGCTAGATCCATATTTATGTTCTTTTGGATGCTTGCCCATTTTTTTTTAATGTGATCCAAAAAGAAACTATCACAAGATGTTTGTCTTATGATTAGTTGATATATTTGAATGGTTTTGTTGTCAGGGTGTCGATAAGATGCCTGAGCTCGGTGGTTCAGGATCCCAAGATCCCGGACTTCCCTGTGAAGAACGAGCCAGTTTATGGGTACATGAAGGGATCCCCTGAGCGCAAAGAGCTTGAGGATGCTCTCAACAAGATGTCCAAGGAAACCAGGGACGTGCCAATCGTCATCGGCGACAAGGAATTCAAAACGGACAACGTCAAATACCAGGTAAAGTTCATCAGAACTTTGAAAATATTGAAATAATTTTAACGTTTTCTTTCTTGTTAGGTGATGCCACATAACCACAAGGAGAAGATTGCCAAATTCTACTACGCCGACCAGAAGCTGCTGCAGAAGGCTATAGAGACCGCCGTCGAGACTCAGAAGAAATGGGACAGGACTCCAATTAGGGACAGGTCAGTGCCGAAAATGTTCTGATGTTTTCGGTGCATTTTTGCATTTCCATCCTTGACCCTTTCAGATTAAACATTTGGGAGAAAGCTGCTTCCCTGATGGCCGGCCGCTACCGTGCCCAGCTGAACGCAGCTACCATGCTGGGACAGGCGAAGACCATCATCCAAGCCGAGATCGACTCCGCCGCCGAGCTCATCGATTTCTTCAGGTAAAGTTCGACCTCGAGGAAGACCCGCGCGACCGGAATAAACGTCTGTTCTCTCTCAATCTGCAGATTGAACGCCTTCTTCCTGAAGGAAGCCCACAAATACCAGCCAATTTCCGAAGATGCCAAGGTGACCAAGAACAGCATGCGCTACCGCGGTATCGACGGTTTCATCGCCGCTGTTTCGCCCTTCAACTTCACCGCCATCGGCGGTAATTTGGCCTACACTCCAGCTTTGATCGTGAGATTATTTATTTATATAGTGTTAGTATTTTCTTTACTAAAACAATTATCTTTGTTTAGGGTAATTCGGTTCTGTGGAAGCCCAGCGACACAGCTCTGTTATCCAATTGGATTATCTTCCAGATCTGTAGGGAAGCCGGTCTTCCCCCAGGCGTTGTGAACTTTGTACCCGCCGACGGCCCCGTCTTCGGAGACACCATCACCGCTTCCAAACATCTAGCTGGTATCAACTTTACCGGTTCAGTTCCGTAAGTATCAAATACGTATTTCCAACATCAAACAATTAACGGGTGATGATTTTTTTTTTTGTAGCACTTTCACTCGCTTGTGGACGCAAGTTGGTAAGAACATCAACAGCTACGTGAACTTCCCTCGTCTGATCGGAGAATGCGGTGGCAAGAACTACCACTTCGTTCATCCAACCGCTGACCCAGTGAGCGTAGTTCACGGCACCATCAGGAGTTCCTTCGAGTTCTGCGGCCAAAAGTGCAGCGCTTGCTCGAGGATGTACGTCCCAGAATCGCTCTGGCCAAAGGTAATGCATCCCCAAATCATTTACATACAGAGATTAACGAATTATTACGATTTAGATCAAGGACGGTTTGATCGAGAAATGCAGCACGTTGAAGATTGGCGATGTCATGGAATTCGACTCGTTCACCTCCGCTGTCATCGACGACAAAGCTTACAAACGCATCAAGGGTTACATCGACCATGCCAAGAATTCCAAGAACCTGAAGATCATCGCCGGAGGCAAATGCGACGACTCCAAGGGCTACTTCATCGAGCCAACGATCGTCGTCAGCACCGACCCATTGGACAAGATCATGACCGAGGAGATCTTCGGCCCGGTGCTCTCCATCTACGTCTACAAGGATAGCGACGTCGAGAAGACTTTGAGCCTCGTCGGTAGTTCCACCGTTTTCGCTCTGACCGGAGCCGTTTTCGCAAAAGACCAGTACGTTATTATACAATCAGTAGTCTCAACAATTTAACTCATAACATTTATTTCCAGAGCATTCCTGAAGCATGCTTTGGAAGAACTCAAGATGACCGCTGGTAATTTCTACATCAACGACAAATCGACTGGCAGTGTTGTAGGTCAACAACCATTTGGTGGATCCAGGATGTCAGGTAATTAACTTTTATTTTTCTTAAATACTTGAAGAATTCAATTAAAAATCATCTTTGTTTCTAGGTACAAACGATAAGGCCGGTGGACCCCACTATGTACTCCGCTGGGGAAATCCTCAGGCCATCAAAGAAACGTTCGTTCAGCTGAACGAGATCGGTTACCCGTACATGTCCCAAAAATAAGTATGGGTCCAGATCCCATCAAGTTACCTCAATTTACACCGATAAATTTAATTTTTAAATTTAAATAATTGTTATTTTTAAATGATTACTACTTTGCTCCGTTTTAAATGAATTATAATTATGTTTTTTTTTTTGCTTTAATTACAATGTGATAAGTAAGATTTGTTTTAAACAAAGTGAAACGATGAAGATGAAACGACAAGGGAAATAATTATCATTTTCAATGATTAATGTATATGTGTATTATGGAAAAAGATCATAATATTAATTTATTTTCTCTCTACATTTCGCTGTTTCTTTCTATATAATAACACTCTCTATAAATGTCTCCAAAGGAATAATTATTATGAATAAAATTGGTATTATTTTTTCCTTTATTTGAGTTTTCTAAGTCGAGCGCTTTCATTATTTTCTCTATAGTTTTCTTTTGTTCTGTTCGTTCGGAATCTAGTGTGTAAGAGTAGTTAATAGTTGAGATTGTGCGTAGGGAAGACTTAGTATGTGAAAAGGAAACACTGACAATATTACCGTGGAAGTAAAACAGAAAAATATTAATAATGGATATTTAAATAACGACACGAACTTCGAGAAATCTATATTTAAATGTATTTCGTGTACATTGACTAATTTATATATGTATTATGTAAAAAAAATCGTGAATACCATTGCGATCGTATTTTGTTTATTGACTCATTAATATATTATACAACAACAACAACAAAAAACATTTCCATTAAATTACATAATTGTGTAGAAGATGTTGCCTATTGTAACCCATTCATTCAGAAATTAAACCATAAGCAAATGATAATATCAGAACAATATCAGAAAATTTTTGTAAACAGGATTCAATTATTATTGAAATATTATAAAATGAATAGAAATAAATTATAAATTTAAAATTTTCGTGTTTTTTAAGTTGCCTATATACAAATTAATCAATTTATGTTACAATAGAATTTAAAAATCTCTGTTGTGATGGGTCTATCACAATCCTTGCTGTATTAAAATCCCGACTACCATAATCCCAACTGTATCAAAATCCCGACTACCATAAGAAATTTATAACAATAAAAGACACTGTCGGGATTTCGAACGTCGGGCTTGCGATTGCCACCGGTTGTGATTACTATTTCTTAAAGAAACAATAAATTTTTCTTAAATGCATGTGAACAGTAATAAAGAAAGCCGTTATTCTAAATTATTAAAACTTTATTTTAAAATTTGGTTTATATATTTTTGAAATATACAACTGTTAGAAATCATCAATAGTTGATAATTAAAAAAAAAGAAACAAAGATAAATGATACATATACATCGAGCTAACGTCTATAAAATAAATCACAATAATCCGTTTTCCTCGTGTGAATTGATACAAAATATGATAGTAATTGGCACAAACTAGAGAATATATATATATATAAATATATGATATAACTAATAACAACGTCTAAAATATTCGTCTTTTTTTACGTAAAATCTTTCCATTTAAAAAAAAGCGTCCAAAATATATATATAATAATAAAAAAAAAATAATATGTAGAGCGTGGAATGTTTGTTATGGAATTATGTAGTACGCATTCAGAGCTCAGTCGTCATGTGGCTGGTCAAAGTTTGGACGCGTTTCGCGTTGCAACTCTTGCAGAGGACGTGATCATCGAGCGGATAACATCCGCGACCTTGGGCTTCCGAAGACAACAATAAACCGCAATCCTGCAAATGAAAACAATAAACATATAAATTGCTTAATTTATGATTTGCAAAATACACTCACCTCGCATTTGTAGCATTGTATGTGAAAACTACGATCCAAAGCTACGACTCTAACCGTTTCTTCTTGGCCGGCTTCCGGCATTATGGGTTGCACGCAGACGCAACATCTGGGAGCGAATTTTCTGTAATTGCAAGATGTTAGTGAATGTTTTCAGATGATATTTTTTCAGGTGATTACTTGTGGAAATCTTCGATGCAATGGATTTGATTGGTGGCGTCTACGGTGAACGGGATGCCGTCGAGGCTCTTCCCGCAGATGACGCAGGTGAAACACTTCGGATGGTAGGGTTTACCTGTAGCCCTAAGGATTCGATCGAGGATTGGTTTCGTGCAGACGCAGCACTTCTCCAAAGTGTTCTAATAAAAAAAATGATTATGAGATTATGGTTTTTGGATGAATTGGATTGGTCTCACCAAGTAATCGTCTTCGCAGTAAGGATTCCCTTCCATCGAGTAGAACGGTTGTCCTTGTAGATTGATGGCGCAATGGTGGCACGTGAAGCAGGAAGTGTGGAAGATTTGGTCCATCGCGGTGCAGCCACTATTGGCGCCGACAACCCTCTGGTTGCATTTGGCGCAAACGCCGAAGACGTCGCCGGCTTCGGTGTCGTTGTCCATTCCTTGCACGAGCAGATCCGTGAGCGCGTCCACCTCCTGCTCTTTGACCTGACCAACTCTGCTCGCGGATTGACTCGGCCCGGACATGGTGCTCACGCCGCTCCCGTACGGAGCGTACAAAGAGTAATTAGATCTGGACGACATCTGACTCGGCGGACGGGGATTTATCGGCTCGTAAATGGACTCGTAAGTGGATGAAGACTACATCAGACAAAAGAGAACACAAAGATACAAAAAAAAAATCAAAGAAACGAATAAACTAAAGTATTGTTGTTACGATTTTTACCTGCGAGGAAGGGCCATATCCATAGCCCCCGTACTGATTAATAAAAGAAACAAAGAGATCCGTTAAGAAACACGTCGATAGAGCAAAGTGTTAAAGTTTGATGAAAAGACTTGACTTACTTGAGATCCCATATAGTTGTTGTAGTCCTGATTGGGTTGAGTGGCTCTTCTCAGTTCGCTGTAACTCGAGCTGACCGGAGACGGCGGCGGCGGAAGTTCATCAGGGGGCGGCGGGAAGTTGATGTTAACAGTGCACGCTGTATATTGCGAATTGAGATCGATCGGCGGCGGGGGCGGCGGTAAATCGTCGACTGCAGAAAAACAAACATAAATTTACCATTTTTTTTTTGTACCAATCTTCGCGATTACCTCCGCCGTTCGCGTAGACGTTATTCGTTGCAGTCGAAGCGTTCGGAGCGTTCCTATAATTGTTTTCCCTCGGAGGGACGTAATTGCTGTAAACCGCTCCTTCGGGGTAATTGTAACCACCCACGTAGACATTGGTGTAAGTAACCTCCGATGGACGTGGAGAATGCTGCAGCAGCCCCATCACATTTGAATACTGGCTGTTCTCCGGTTGGACGTTAGTGTATTGCGTCTCCTGCGGCATCCGATCCACCCTCAAAGTTGGAGCGTTATGGATATCTTGTCCAATGTTGGAATAAAACTGATTTTGCGCGTTGTTCTGCAACCTTCCAGCGTACAGAGGCTCCTTCTGCTGCTTCAAAGAGTACGATTGAGGAACCTATACCAACAACAACAACAATAAAATCAATTAAATAGAACAATCTTAAATGTTATAAATACAAACCTGAGGCTGTTGCTTCTTAGGTTTCGGTGGAACGGCCGGTCCAATTTTCTTTCCCAAAGTGTTATTCGGATTAGGCATCAACTCTTTGCTGGTGATCAGCCTCAGTTCGGCCAGCTGCTTGTCCAGATCGTCCATTTCGGTTTGCCTCTACAAAAAAAGAAACAATAAATCAGTGATAAAGCGTCAATCGGCGAAGTTCAATTGAAGTCCAACATGCGAAAGAATTCAATGTCAAATTTATTATGATAATTAATAGCGCTTTAAACGATCGCCGATAACGCTTTAAATAAACACAGGCGATAATTAAATAAACATTTCGGCAAGTGGATCGATTGCATAAGTCCAACCAAAAACAACTATGTTGTTGATGTAGTAAATTACAAATGTTTTCATTATATCTGCATCACGTGCTTAGATTAAAACAATCACTGAAGAAGCAGAATCACAAAGGAAATCAAAACGTTCAATAACCAGAATTATATTATATTTTTCATTACATTTACATAAAATGCGTTAATTACTGAAGAAGCACGTGTCCAAACGATATAGAATAATTCAGCTCAACTCAATCCAATCACCGGAACAACATAAAATCCTTATTTTTACTTAACACGATTCAATTACTGAAGAAAGAAAAGCAGAATCGCAGAACATAAAAAACCTTAAACGGCATCGGCATAATTCAGATTAGATAGCGGATTTAATTATAGACTCTCATTATGTATTGATAGGATATTAATCTGCGATCGTAATTGAAAAGAATTCCGCCTGATTGCGGTTCGTTTAATGCAACCGAACGCCATTTTGCGAATCCTCCAAAACCGAAACAATTACAGGAAATAACAAAACATAATTTGCAATAAGAAAAAAAATATGAACAATGAAAAACACAATTAACATTCAAATTGTTTAAAAAAAATTGTAAATTTTAAATTTCTAATTAGATAAACGTGGTCTGTATTGGATCTTCAATATCACGATTTAAAATACTTAAATTTAGTACAGAAATTCTTAAGATTTTTTGTAAATAATAGAGTTAACAAGTATTATTCTTTGAAAACATACTAATATTTGTCAATAACAATATTCTTCTTAGTCTAGATTTATAAGTTAACTCAATATATCAAAGCTAACTTAACAAATGTATCGTTTACAAGATGATTTTAAGAGTTTGTAACAGTATTTTTTTTTAATGTAATATATGCGTTATATTGTGTTACAAGTTTTCTGAAATCTTCGGTCCATGGGAAGCTGCAATAGAATACTTAGAAGAAGAAAAAAGTGCATACGAAAAGTATGCATTTTATGCACGAATGTAAATAGTATTCTCACGTTACTTGCTAGGAGAGAGAGAGAAAAAAAAAGTTGAACAATATATTGCTAACCAGATTTGCGGACGTGATCCGTTCCATAATATCTATATTTAGCGAGTTTTTAGTGATACACTAAAAAAAAAGTAAAAGTGATGATTTATAGTTGAAGCAACAAATACTTAAAGCGATCTTGAAGACTACTAGTATTAATCCTATATGATTGATGTACAGAACTACAAAGTTTTTTTTTTCCTTCTTTAATTGTTTCATTAACATTTCTTGGATGAGGAGAAAACAGAAATCTGCGAGATTTCACTCTCTGCGAGAGCTACACCTTAAATAACGTATACATTTTGGGGAAGGCATACAACACAAAGGATCGATTTCCGCTCCTCTGGACTCTCTCTCTCACCCTTCTAGGTTAGGATAGGAAAAAGCCTCTTGAAACTCACCTCTCTTTTAACTTGCAATGAATAGTCTCGAACTTTACGTTCTGTATTGTACCAAAAAAAAAATTAACTACAAATAAAAAGACGTCGAAGACGATGGAAAAAGGAGCGCACACGACAGCTGCTCCCACGAAAATCACAATCGCAACTGATGGTGTATTGGATTGGTATACCACAAAGTCGGACAGCACCTCCGGAATGAATTGCACACGCGCAGAATTTAATCAACAGTGCAACAACATATACGCAGACACATATTATTATACACTAATTAAGATATCACGAAAACGCGTAGCTATGTATCATCCAGTATCATCAAGTAAACCTTGATTACAAACTTTTTTATTTTTTTGGTTTTATTTTCGGTCGATAATCTATGAGTAATCAATGATTTCTTATACTTAAGTAGACTTAACGCTGCTTGTGAAAGACTACTTAAGAGAGAGAGTGTCGTTGTGGAAGCAGCAGCAGCTTACGATTATCACTCGAAGATGAAAAAATGTGGACGCTCGAAGAAAGAAAGTATGAATCACAGGCATTCCATGATTCAAAGGCTCAGTTGTTTAAAGAATCTACTGCGGCTGTGGACGAACCCCATAAATATTGTATTTCAGTTGTTCGTTCGAAACGTAACTGAAATGATGTTTCTTTTTAAAGACTACATAGATAAATCTTATCATCTTTTCCAAACAAAGCAATCTTCACTTTTACCAAATACTCGTATCTTCTTTAGAAAGCGCATTCCCATGAGTTTCCAAAAAGTTGTTTTCTTTTAAAGAAAACTTTCAATAGTTTACACAACAAAATTAGATTAAATATATATAAAATAAGTCATTTAATAAATACTAAATACTTTTTTTTATTAAGTAAACCAGTGATTCATTTTCGCTTTTTTTTTTATTTTGTTGCTAAGAATCCATGTACTTATATAGACATGATTACTCATAGACGAATAGAATGGAATTGTGGTGGAATTAAGTAGAAGGGGAGTTCATTAACAAATTGTATCACGCAACACGTAAAGTTTAAAGACCTTCTGGTTCTTGCAATTATTTTTACTTAAACAGATAATATTTTCATATTTAAAAAGATTATTAAAAAGTTTGTTATCCTATTAGAATCCATTAGATATTCTAATTGGAACATTTCCTAATATTGTTCTTTCTATTCAAACTTGATGTTTAGTAAAGTTCATTCATTATTAGTCTATGAATCAAACTATCAATGTGTAATTCATTCATAAATTTGTAAATAATTAATGCAATCTCCATAAAACAACGTAAATAACGTTCAGTGAGTGAAATATGAATAGAAATACATCAATAGATGTCGCTCTTAAAACAAATTTTCTAATGCAGCGTTTTCCAAACTGTGAGGCGCGTGGACTAGACTAAGGGAAGGCGCGAATATTAGTAGCAGTGAGCAATTTTCCAAATATCTGCTAAAGTATAGCAGATATTCCTGTGCTCTTATCCATTTTGCTGTTATACGCGTTCAAAGTTGAAAAATACTCGTTGTTGAGTTGATTTACTGGAAAACTATAATAGATAGAATGAATCCAATATATGCATATGAAAGCTGAATGTTTGGGGAATCCAGCAAGTATAGATACATTCCTGTGCTCTTATCCATATTGCTGTAATACGCGTTTAAAGTTGAAAAATTTAAATTAGAATGTTCGAAAAAGCAGTGTTTTCACATTTCATTGATTTACTCGAAAACTATAATAGATAGAATAAATCCAATATATGCATATGAAAGCTGAATCCAACAAGTATAGATACATTCCTGTGCTTTTATCCATATTGCTGTAATACGCGTTCCTTTTATGAAATGGAGGAGTATGAGGAGGCGCCAAATGATTACATACTTTTGAGGGAGGCGTAGTAACATCAAGTTTGGAAACCACTGTTCTAATGGTTTTGAACTACAGAAATTTCCGTTCCTATTTTATTTCTAATCCGAATATTTACCACCAAAAACATTGCTTAACTTTCGTCATCTGTGAAGTAAGTGGAAATTATCCAAATCATCATCAATTCAAGCTTTTAATACACTGTTTTTTTCCTCATTTAATAAAACAAATCCTTATTGCATTTGTAATTAGTTTCAAATTGGCAAAGTACTAAAATGTCACCCATCCTAATACTAACGTAAAACAATAATGCTTAACTTTCGTCAATTGTCAAATAAGTATCAAGAAATCCAATTAAATAATTCTAATACTTACAATTCTCTCAATGTTACTTTAACAAATAAATCATACATTCACTGTGAACAATTTCGTTATAACTAAGCTCAGTTTCGTTGTGCGGTTTCCGATTAAACCGCACATTTTGAGTCACATCAAGTTAAAGTTTTGTTACCGTTAATATCCGTGCGTTATAACACGAAAAAATTTTCAGTTTCCTTATTTACATCAAATATAATAATAATAATATCTTCTTTATTGCACAGAAAGAAACACTATAAAAATACCAATAAGTTTACTTAAAGTCTAAATATAAAAAAAAAATATATATATATATAGTATATACAATAATACAAGATCTCTTACAAATACACTTTGGTTTTGTTAGTTCTTTGTGAGGAAACATTTAAGAAATTTTTTTTAATCATAAATTAATCACATTATGCTAGGCTTGAATATACACAAAAAAAAACAAATAATTTGTTCGTTCAATTAATTTAACTCTCTCAAAAATAAGTTACCTTTGAGGAACCAAAATAAATAGGAGATTGAACCGTAATAATGTAAATCAGAAATACAGATCTGATGTTGCAGTTATATCCGTGGATATTTCTATCGCTTCTTGTTGGAAATATATTTGATTTTCTAACGTGTTTGTGCACAGAACGTAATCATCTTGGTTGATGTTTGTTGATTTCTAAAATACCAATTATTGAAGATATGGGTATAAAATGTAAGATTTAAACTTACCGGCGCTTTTTTGTGGGCAATGCAGAACGTGCAGACGCTATTTCTGGAATTGTGCTGTTCGTTGTCCATCACGTGTCGCGAAATTCTTAAGCAAGGCTGATCAATGGGACCTGCAAATAAACAAATATAAGATGAAGAATTTAACCATTTGAAGGGTCAGAAATTCCTAATTCCCAAGTTGGGACTACTACCATTTCTTGGACATTTTCTAGAAAATTATAATAACTCAAAGAGTTAAATGTAGACAAACGGATTTATCAACGAATAATCTTGGAATTCGCGTAATAAGTGTTACAAATTAAATTAGATTGTATTACCTGCGATGAGTTGGGTGCCCAAATGCGAGATGTAGCTGGAAGCAAGACGCAGCGTTTCGATCTTGCTGAGCTTCCGGTCTTTCGGTTCCGTTGGGATGAGATTACGCAGCAGGGAGAAAGCAGAATTGACGCTGGAACAAGAGAAATAAACGCAATTGTTAACGCCGATAGTCTGACCATCGTTGCGACGAGCACTCGAACGATTCGTGAGGTGAGGGAGGAAGGTTCTAAGAGTGTGTAGTCTCATTTTGCTTGCTTGTGTTACTTACTTATTTCTTGAATTTGGATGGATTATACTGAAAGCAAGGAAAATCCATTAATAGAGAAAAAATATAGTTAATTAATAACCATTAATAGAGGTGCGGGATAGAGTGTTAAGTCCACGAAACGTTTACAAATAGGAATAGTAACTAAATAATAAATTAGTGAGAGGATGAGAGGAGGAAGAGAACTCTTCGAGGCTTACCTATGAGTACGATCCCTTTCCCTCGCGTTCGCCTGACTCCTCTGCCTCACCGGATTCGCGAACTCCTCGCTCTGCGGATAATTCGAACTCCGTCTTCTCTTCCCCACGTTATTGTTATTGTTGTTCATGGCTCTACCAAAGTTCGCATCTTGTGAGCTCTCTGCGTATTGAAGATACTCCATCATCATATCTAATAAAATAATTAACTTCAGTTTAAAATAAAAACTTTTATTTTTATATAAGAAAAACGTAAACTTACTTGCGTTTCGAATTCAATTTGTTTCCATGTATTTACGATTGAATCACTACTGCGAGTCGTCGGTGATAACGTTTTATTGGTGGTGAGTAATTAGGATGCGCAGCTGCTTATATCGGATTCCGATGAATTGGTAAATTGGTCTCTTCTCTTTCTGGGGAAGAGAAGCGCTCCAGACAAGCTCACGATTCCAACTAAATCGGATGCGGACTACTCCTCTGGAAAAAGAGCTCCTCCGCTCGGACCGTTCGACGCGCCGCACATCTGGATTTACGCTTACAATTTTTCGTTTACAACAAAGCAAAAAATACCGATGGCATAAACATTAACTGCGCCGACAAAAAGCTACAACTTCCTAAGAAATAAATGTTAAATAAACAACAATACACAATTAATCAAGATTTCCTATAAATACAATAAGTTACAAAATTTAATTAATAAAATTATGGTCAATGCTCAATTGGAAATGAAACCTCCTAAACGAATGCAAATTCTTATTTTTGCTTTGTCAAAACTGCATTGATTTATGATTGGTAATTTAATATATGTTTATGAACTGGTAAATATTTGTGGCTTGAATAAACACTGCAAACAATACTTATTCAACGTTTCCTTTCAACGTTCAATAATTACATTTCTTCAACAGTTTTCTTTAATAAATATATTTTCAGACTAAATATGCTAAAATTATGTAATACAATTATTAAAATAATCAAAGATGGAAATTACATGAAACATCTTAAATTATGTTAGTGAACAACTTGAAATTTTGTTGCAAATTTCACAAAAATTTTAGACTTTTGACTACAAATCTGGAAACGTTGCAATGTACGGTTTTTTGTATCAAAAAATTAATTAATAGACATTAACAAGTTAAATAATTTTAAATTATAATTAGTCATTTTTTGCATATTAAAATTTTTAGATTTTCACCAGAAATTGGATTAGACGTTTGAAAACCATATAAATATGTATTAAAAGTTTAGTTTAATAGAAAAACAGCAAAAAATCTCATTTTTCATATATGGAAATTTTATTAATATTTAGACTATTTGGATCAAAACTATGTGTGAATATTGGAAATATACAAAAATGTACAAAACTGTATTAAAAATTAAATAGTTTGAAAGAAAATTAAAGAAATTAGTTAATTTTTATATGAAAAATCTTGAAATTAATTAATATACATTAACAAGTTAAATAATTTGAAATTATAATTAGTCATTTTTTGCATATTAAAATTTTTAGATTTTTGACCAGAAATTGACGATTAGACGTTTGAAAACCATACAAATATGTATTAAAAGTTTAGTTTAAGAGAAAAACAGCAAAAATTCTTATTTTTCATATATGTATATTTTAATTTAGACTGTTTAGATCAAAACTATGTGTGGATATTGGAAATATATTTGCTTCAATGATGAAAATTGTACAAAACTGTATTAAAAATTAAATAGTTTGAAAGAAAATTAAAGAAATTAGTTAATTTTTATATGAAAAATCTTGAAATTAAAGATAAAAAATAAAGTCTCGGACATTTGATGAAAATTCGCTTGAATAATGAACGAATGAACACAAACAGCGGTTTTATCGTTTAAGAGAAACCCGAAGATTCGGGCAATTGCAATACGACAGACGGAACTCTGTCCAATTCTTCGTGCACAACCAACCACATGCTGCTCGTCCTTTTTCCATCATCATCATGAAATATCGTCGTCGTTGCATGTGGACGAAAATCACGCCGAATCACGACGTATAAAAATGCCAGAGCGCTCGACGAATCTTCGCTTTCCGAAAGGCGCCCACATGTAATTAGTAAGATAGAGAGAAATCTGGTAAGCTCATCATCACATCCAACGATCCCCAAAAAATTTTTCACAACGAGCCCAAAAAATTGATGCGTGTGATCGCACAAGTGGCGACCCGCACATACACAAACATGTGTGTAAACAAAAAGACCATCCTTATACACCCTCCCTCCAACTCCTGAAAAACCACCCAAACCGAAGAAATCCCATGAAGAAACCACCGGCAACGGCAGAAAAACACACAGTTTTGTAATTTATTAGCATCTCTCGAACGCGTCCGTCCGTCCTTTCCATCAATCCGAATCGATTACGTAGCGTTCGCTTTAAATTCGTCAGCGAATAAAATAAACAAATTAATATCAATTAAAACGCTATTAATTCAAGTGAAATTATTAAGGCGAATTATGCGGGCGCGTTCGGATAGCAGCTGTCCCCCCATTCCAACAGCGCGAACGCTCGCAATCATTGTTAAAACCTAACTTAAATAACTAACAAACAAACAAACAAAAAAAGGGAACGCATTTCTGCAAATGTTCGATTGAAAACAAAATGAATCACTTTATTTACATGTCGTAACAACATTCAACAATCATATTAACAAGTTCATCGATTCGTGTAGTATTTCTGTTTCATTTTTTGTTGCGCGAAAAGGCCGAGCCTCGCAAATTATTTACTCAAATAAAAACCGATCACTTAAGTACGTACATAAACACATCAGAAAAGGTGTTGCTAAACTATATTATACTGTTTGCACTTTTAAAGCGCGCGGAATGGACAGATTTCGAACTTAATTTCATAATAATTACATAATATAAATAGATTAAAGGGAAACGAATAGAGAGATAGGATAATACAGAAATTCCAATCATAGTTGGATCTTACTATCGGGGAACTGAGGCGGACTTTTCGATGTCCTCGATGACCTGGAACAAACGCTGTCTACTCTTCTTGTTGTTCTGGCACATGCAGGACACCAAACCGAACAGGTGCTTCGACGAATACTCCTGAAAACAATAAACAAACAAAAAATTAACCGTTAATTCCTGAAAATTAATGTATCGAAACATGTGTCCAAAAGGAAAGTGTCACAAAAAGGAGAGAAACCACTGCACGCTTAATTAACTGCACATTTTTAGGGGATGAAACGCCCCAAGCGTTTCACATCCGGCATCTCTTTCGAACCCGAAACATGATAATTGCTACAAATTGATATTTTATCCTACAAGAACATTTGTAACCCATCAAATTTGTAGTTTTTTTTTTTTCGAAATTCATGTAAAATATATATTTGTCAAAGCGTAAGTAGATAAATGCACTTACCGAATGCTCTTTGATCCATTTTTCCAGCTCGTTTTCAGGGAGGTAATAGGCCTTCACGTAATTCTCGACGTATTCGCGATGGGGTACGGGTCTCATCCCTGAAATTTTCTCAAATTTCAGGAGAAACTGCGTGAAGTCCAGCTGCATCAATGCTCTGCCACCATTCGAACATTTCTTCGCATCGGAATATCTAAATCAAAATTAAAAGAAATATTTAAAAAAAAAATTAATTACTATTGTCAATAATCACCCTTGAACTAAAGTGTGAGTGATTATGTGCGCTGCATTCTCCCACAAGCTTTTGTAAACATCTGTAGATATGTGCACCTTCGAGCTGATCTGCTCCAATCTCATCGTAAATATTTGTATTTCCTGAAAAAAAAAATCAATTGATTAATATTTTTGTTTTGTAAGATGAAATCTTCGCTTACTCTCAGAATCACATCGATATAGGTGTTGTGCTGCGACATCACGTCCTTCACTTCCCAATTGATCTTCGACATAGAGACCAGAATTTGCCGAAGATCAAATACCTTAGCGACAACAGACATGTAAATTGGTCTACGTAAATCTGCAGCGCTTCCAATTGACTGAAAATTCAAATCTTAATAAATATTTTAAATTTGTTACTAAAATATTTGAAAACTGCTTTTTAATATATCTAAATAATGAAAAATACCTATTAATTTTAATTTTGATTATGAAAATAATTTATATATTTAAGAAAACATTTTCAGTTCAGATTTGACTGAAGAGTTCAGAATTTAAAAATGATGGGCAAATGGTTTTTCTTCAAATACGGTCCTGTATACTGCATCTAACTTCAAGTCTTGTTAAAAATTTCATAAACTAAAATAAACTACCTTCAGGTTTGTAACCTAACCTATTTCAAAACTATTTTGACACGCGTGTAGTAAACATCAATATATATAGTGGAGAAAGTGTTAGAGTGTAATACATTAGCTATGGAGGATGAACATAAAATAACGCCTGGAAGATACACGATTCTGCAGAGGCAAGGGTACACGAAATTGTACAAGGTAAAGGAAAATGGAACAGTTATGATTAGGCATTTCACAGTTGAAACACAAAATGCAGTGAATGCAAAGTTCTTCGACCTATTCCAAATGAAGCCGAAGGGGAACTCCAGGAAAATGTGCAAATTGGAAAGGGTTACCTCTGTGGACGATGACATAAAGCATACAGGTGGTTCAGGCAATGATAACCGAAACATCATAGATGATGGGACTTCCCAGACCCTAACAAAAGAACAAATTGAGGAGCTTCAGGATGGCTCAAAATCATCAGTAGAAATAGTGAATCAACTGATTGCCAATTCCAAAACGTTTTCATCAAAGACTGGATACAGCCAGGAGAAGTACAAGTCCAAGAAACAGAAGAAATATTACGAGTACATTTATTTCCGCAAACCGACGATTCGCATTTTAGCGCAGATGTTTTACCGACAGGACCCCACGAAAGTTTTAGGCATCCGCACCGATGATCTCTCGCAAATCCTAGCCTACGCCAATATTCAAACAGATGGAAAATACATATTGTTTGATAGCGGAACTTCTGGTTTGATGACTGCGGCGATTTTAAACGCAATTGGCGCGAACACTAGCGGGAAATTAGTTCACATGCATCCAGGCAACGAATGCCAGAAAGTCGCTGTTCAAGCGATGGATTTCCCTCAAGAGCAATTGAGCAGATGCATCAATGTTAACATCTATTCAGTTTTGCGTTGCTTTTACCAGAACAGCGAAGAGAATATGCTCAAGAGGAAGTTGCCTTTGGAAGAAGAAGAGGTGGTGCAAAAGAAAATGAAACTGGATGATGATGTAGAAGAAGGTATAAAGGAAGTAGTTGTAGCAACAGAAGAAGTGGAAGCAAGCAACAAGAACGAAGTATCTAACGGCAAAAAGACGCCCGGTTGGCAGATCGAAAACGCGAAAGCTTGCGAACTCCTGCGCGAAGGTGTTGACGGTTTAATTATAGTGGCCAAAGAACATCCCGCGTCTATTGTCAAAGAGTTGACGCAATTCCTGAACGTATCGAGAAACATGGTCGTCTTTCATTTATTGCGAGAACCGCTTCAAGACATTTACATCGACTTAAAGAAATCCTTAGAGTTCGTCAACATCAAAGTGTCCAACAACTTCGTCAGGAATTATCAGGTCCTTCCGGACCGGACTCATCCTTTAGTGAATATGAATTCTGGAGGACACATATTGCACGGCCAAAAAGTACAATCATGATCTTTACAATTTTCGGTTATTTTGTATTACGTGATTCGGAAACCGCATTAATCAAAATATTTAAACATTAATAAAAAAAGAAAACTGCCCACGAAAACACGACGCGCCACATATATGTAAAGACTGCAATCTCTTGTATTGTAGATGGAAGCTTATAATAAGATTGACTAATAAATTTGAAAATAAATACCTGCGTAAAAAACTGTTGTAGTATAATTTTGTTTTGTGGCGGAACCAGGAACTCCAGGTATCCTTGCAGAGAGCTGTACTGCTTCGAGAGGAAAATCAAACTCTCGACGCCTACGATCCTTTGCGCCAATCCATGCAACTTTTCAGGTACAGTCAAATCGACTTGATCGGAGAGAGCGACATGCCGTTCGTTATTCTCATACAAATCCTCTTGAATCCTTTTCAATGTTGAATTTAAACTTAAAGAGTATAGGGAATTGCTGCTAATTGTCTGAAAATTTAAAAAGTAATTACTAGATTATGCCTATTAGAAATTAAGTTATACTCACTAAATCTATCGTGAAGAAAGAGTGCACGTAATAGAGGTAGAAATCGTAAAGTTGAGCCATACACATGATAATGTCGAAAGCTATGGGTTGGAGCAGTCTCGACATCTGCAGGTAATTTCCCATTTGCCGTAAAACAGTGAGAGTTGTATTTGTGAGTATGGGCGATCTTTGTTGTATGTTCTGATGTTTCTCTCGTTTAGCGCTACAATTGATAGCATTAATATATCAATTATTTCTTGGAATTATCAATACATACTTTTGCCCATTTAATTCCCCAGCGTATTCATCCACATAATCCTTACTGAGTTCCTCGTTTTCCTCCTCGCTATCCTCGGAGAAATAACCTGGGCCATCATCGTCGAAAGCAAGAATATCTTCCTCGATCAAAGTTTCCTCCAGCTTCGAATCGAATGGTGTTCCATGCTCGCTAAATCTTATGAAATAATTCCCTGAAACAAATATCTTATTCTCACTATTCGCAGCTTCAAGATTACTAATTACCTGTGACAACGCTACTTCCATCTTGTGAGTGATTAGAGGAACAACAATCAGGTGAATTAGTGTAAGCCAAAGAAGCCTTCTTATAATTTCGCAAAACATGTCTCATCGATTTGAACTCCTACAAAAAACAAATTTCATAAATTAAAGTAAATAAACCTTTCAGCATTTTACCTGTAATTGCAGAATATCAAACGTATGCTTCACAGGGCAAATTTCCCAACTTTCATTCTCCAGAAATATCTTCAGCTCTTCTATCCGCTGCGCATGGTAATTCTTAAAGTAGTTAAAGCTCTGTTTCTTGATCGATTCTTGTAATTCTTCAGATTTGCTACCGCAAAATTCTTCCCCGACTTCGATCAACCTGTGCACAACACCAAGCACCTGCACGAACTGCTCGAATTTATAAGAAGCCAAATCGCTGTTCAGCAAAAGCGAAGAAACTTTACTCTCGACATCCTGCCAAATCTTCACGAGATTATGCTCCAACTTCTGCTTAATATATTGCTTATTGAAATTATCCTCCAAATTCCCATCCTTTTCACCCTCATCGCAATCATGTTTGTTGTGCCATTTAACCAAACTATAATAGCTGAGCACAATTTTAAAGAGGGATTTGCATAAATCTATCAAGCATGGAATAAAGTTTTCTTGCTCCACCGACTGTAAAACGAAATTAATTATATAATAACAAACGCAACGATTGTTGTTTAAATATACCAAACAGAGATTCTTGTAGGGTTTCTTTCCGCTGCCATCGTTAACATCACCGTTAATTTCGGGATTCTGCACGTACACATGCACTATATTAAGTGCGGTATTATAAATCGCACTTATGTAATGCATGTGTAAATGATCAACGGCGAGTTGCGTTTTACCCAACAACCTGAAAGCGGCTTGCAATTTCGAGTAGCGGGTATCATCGAAATAGTAGCACATTTGAGCCAGAACCCTGTCAAGTTGCTCTTCGGTAAACTCCAGAGTTTCCTGCAGCTTATTTGTTAAAGCTGCAACGCAATTGAAATGTTTGTAGGTGTGAGCTGCAGTCTGACATTCCTGCAACAACTCGATGGCTCCGGCATAATTCTCCTCGTTCAAGAGTTCCTGCAATCTGTGATCCGTTCTATACTGAAAGTTTAAATAAAAATAAAATAATCCTAAAAAAATAAATATCAACGAATTCTCACCAAGGTTTTAATTGTGTTCAGATTGTCGAGCAGATTCTGTGCGCGTTTCCGTTTCCGGTGATTGGACAGGACGCTTAAAGTTGAAGCAAGCTGCTTTTCGGCGACGGCCAATTCGAGTCTACCTTGACTACACATTGATAAAGTCTCCTTGAGCGTGTCCAAAACTTGGAGGATCTTTTGGAACTCTTCATTGCAGGAATTCTGATGCTCCAAGATGAGCTGCAGCACTTTCTTGGATACAACTTGGTGCTGCTGCTTCAGCAACTTGAAATCGCGCTGTATTTGGTCGCAATCCAATACGTCAGGGAGTTTCTAATTTCAATCAATGAAACAGAATTGTCAGAAATTGTTTCCAAAAAACGTAAACTTATCATAAAAGATTGCTTAAATTGAACAGGTTACTATAGTAACATAACAATTGAATGGAATTAAATGTAATTGCTTCCTGTTGGCTTAAACAGGAAGTTTAACAGCTATTGTTAAGTTTTTTTTTTAATGATTGGAGATAACTGAATCTAAAATTAAATCTATCTAGATAAAATACGAACGCTCAGCTCGAAACGGCAGATATCGAAATCATCTGTGACTGCAAAATAAGCAGCCTGTATGCTCTCCAAAATATCCTGATCAGCTGGTCGATCAGATTCCGTCACGGTTTTGCTGTTGATGCTAAGGTTGTCGCCTTTGGAGAAATGATAGTTGGCGTCGGAAAATCCCATTGAAGGAATTTTGGGGCCCTGAAAATAGCGATTTTAGATATTGAACCTTTCAGAATGGATGTCGTTGTTATTATTATTGTTCATCTAACCTGTTTATGGAGGAGCCCCAGAATCTTGTGTTTCAGCTCGTCCATCGCGAGGTGAAACCGTTTCTGAAATCACCTATTCCTCCGTCTCATAATACCACATCCAATTGCAATCCATTCAAACACGCAAATGTTTACGAACATAAACACGAAAGTATTGAATGAACGCGTCTGACTCATCCAAGCAAACGTCAGCTGAATGCAGATTAAATACAGCAGGTGGCGCGATTTAAAACTTTAATATCAAAATAATTTAAGATTTATTAGAAAATCTATAACTTAAATAAGTTATGCAAGTTAAAGCAATAAAAACAAATAAAAAGAAAATTGATTTGAATTAAAAATATAATTTATTTATTTGAAAATTTTTGTTAATTTGAAGTGATTGAAATAATTAAATGTACATAATATAAATGAATTCTGCTTTTTTTATTCAATTTTATAAAAATCATAACAATAAAATTTATTTTCTTAAAAATAGGATTACTTTTTCTTCATTTTCTTCTTAGGGCTTTTATTCGTGTCCCCATGACTGCGCTTCTTCGATCCATTGATTTTCACTGGTTCGGGTTCCACTTCTTCTTTTTCATCATCATCATCGTTGCTCGAAGATCCGTCATTGCTTCCTTCATTCTCTTCCTCATCTGGAACCTCGACTTCTTCGAGCATGGAAAAGTGACCATTCAATCCAGCTGATTCGGCTTCGAGTCTCAAATGTTTGCTCATCTTCTTCTCCTTAAGCTCATCTAAATTATGCTTCTTTTTCCTTTTCTTCTCCTTATTTTCATCTTCCGCTTTCTCTCCATTATCATTGATGGATACGACTGTTTCCTTCATCTCAACGACGTGCGAAATATTCAGAGCCTGGCACAATTTATTGAAAGATTTTTTTGTTACGCTCTTCAGATTGACACCAGCCCTGTAATCTCTAACTGCTTCCCCAATTTCAGTCCAATTAATATCTTCAGATTTGATCGGAGAAGTTTTCATTACTCTAAGCAGCGTAAATAAGTTAATGATGAATTTGTCTTTCGCTCCGCCTGCTTTGAAAATCTTCAACGACTCTTCCACGATCGTCGCTTCGACTTTACTTATTTTACCCTTAATAGCGTCTTGTTTATCCTTCAACAGCCGATGGTTCATGTAGAAAATGATGAGTAATTCCAAGGCTTGACTTTTACGGAATGGCCTCATGCTCTCATCGAATGCGTACTTTGCAATTTTCGGTAAAAACTTCGCGTTGCCTTCCCAACATAATTTCATTATGTTTTTGAACAAGATTATAGGCGTAAGGCACTCGCGCATCACGAAGAAATTATCTAAGGCCTTGTTCAAAATGCTTTGGATTCTCTTCCAGGCGTGCTGCGATCCCAAGAATTGCATACATCTAACAATGAATATGCAACAATTGGAAATCTTGTCTCCCATCTCGTGGATCATGATGGTATTTTTCGTTCCTTTATCTAAGAAACTCTCCAACAATTTGGCGAGAGTATCCTCGGTCACCTCTTCGACATTGCCAAACTTCTTCAGGTTCGTCAGTTTCCTTAAGCACACTTTGACCCTGTCTTCTAATGGCTTTTGATGCGGCGACTTTATCGAGTATTCCAGTACTTGCAGCAATGGCAACATAATTTCAAGGCAAAGAATCATTGAAACATCCGAATCCAAATAAATAGAAATCAAATCTAATGCGCGCACTCGGAAATGAGTCAAAGTTTCGTCGTCCTTGCTTTGCTTTTTGTTCTTTTTGTTTTCTACAGGGGGTTTGAACTGTTTGAAGGCCGCTCCTAAGGTAGCGTTCAGTTTGTCGCATTCCTTATCGTCCATATGGTCCAAATCCACGCTTTCGTCATCGGTGATGGCTCCGTTCGTACCCAAAGCCTCTCTCACAGCCTGTCTCAACCTATCGTTCACGGTCTCTTCATAATCATCGTTATCGGATAAGCTGCTATCTTCTTCGTCTTCCGGCCGCTCTTTTCCTTCGTCTTCTTCATTTTCATCCTCGTCCGAATCATCGCTTTCAGAGTCATCATCACCTAAAGGATTGAAATCGTCCTTGGGATCCAAAACAGAAAGGATCTGATGAATAGCGGAGGCTGTCAAATGTTTGCATAAATGCGGGAAAACGCAACCAATTATACTCCTCAACAAATGGCTATTATGCGACAACAAATTCAAGAACAGATCGACAACCACTTCGATCCATTCAATCTCTTCTTCGTCACCATTTTCTCCTTTAGATTTCTTCGCTTTCTTAATGCGCGCATGACATTCGAACAATTCCTGCAAAGAATCTTTAGCCAATTTAACGTCGTTGAACATTTGCAGTGACATTTGCGCAAACAAGATATGGAACACCGGATTCAGATGGGTTTTCTTGGTCTTATTCTCCATCTTGGTTACAGCATCAACGCCTTTCTTCCACAAATCAAAGTCCTCTTTCGAGAACGGCGCGCACATCTCCGTTTCGTAATTGCTTTCGTTTAGTTTCCCATCAATCTCGTGGATTAAAATGGAAAGCATACTCTTCAAATCGTCCAACTTTGCCAATTTGATGTCCAAAGCGCGGAAGAATATATCTTTGAGAGGCACAGCCAGCTGCGTTCCCACTCCATTGAACAACGAAATATTCATCAACATCTTCAGTTGCTCGTGTTTCCATTCCAAACAAGTCTTGACGCTATGATGCGAAAGCAGTTTAACAATCAATTGAGCTGCGTAAACTCGATCAACGTTGAACCAATCCTCCGTTTCATTATCGTTCTTCTGCTTGATTTTCTTCGCCAATAAAACATCACTGTATACCGTACACAATTTCTTAACACCATCCTCGTCCAAAGTTAATGTGATATATTGCAATATTTTACTTTTCGTCAACTTCTCGATCATGAAACTGCCTGGATAAAATATCAACTTATTGATGACTTCCAATTTCGTTTCAGTCGCGACATTTTCTCCATTGACGGCTTTTGTGAGTGACGTGAGGAACTTCAAGATAGACTGTTGCAAATCCTCTTCCTTCTTAAAACCAAGTTTCTTAAGATACGTGATAGTGATCGACATGAATTTCTTGGTCAAAAGCGTCGGAAGTAAAGTTTTATCTTCTAGATTTTCAGCCAACAACCTCAGAAGCATCGATGCAGCGTTATGACGGATCAGAGTTGGCTTCACGATCAACGAACGATCGATCTGCGTTATGAAATCGGCGGCATGTGAACTCACTGCAACTTTCTTAGCTGCAAATTCATAAACCGGATGTAAAAGAATATTATGAATCGGCAAAATTCCCTATAAACACAAAAAAAAAAATTAATTAATTTTATAAACTAAAATATAAATATAAACACTACTCACCAACAAAATTTCAACGAAACCTTCCACATCACTTAAAATATCCGTACAATCCGAGACATTTTTCACGAATTTCTTGAACAACTTTGGGTAAGATTCTTGCAGTTTCAGCAGGAAGTACAGATGATTCAAGTTCAAATCTGAAAGTGGTTTAGTCATTTCTGGTTTTAATGCTGGCAATATTACTTCTTCTACTTCATGTTTATTAACAACTTGCAGAGCCTCGGCCAGAAATGTGTAAGATATTAAGCCGAGGTAGCTCTTTTTGTTGCCACAGATGATCAAGTTGTTTATGAATGTCTGTTGATGTTCTTGTGATATCTTCAGGAACATCCCTGATCGAAGCACAGCTCCGGACAATAAAATCAACCCCAATGAAATGTCAGCAGCTTCCTAAACATGGGAATAAAAAAATAATAAATATATGAGCTTTAAGTCAATTAAACTAAATTAATAAAATGAAAATTTACACTTACACTTTTACTATTGTTAGCATTATTTTTGATTTGCTTATCTGATATTTCCAAAATTTCTTCTACATTAAATTCGACAGTTTGTAGGAGGGTGGTGAGGGCTGTGTAGAAGCCTATGCGGGCGGTGTTCTTGGTGGCGCCAAGGCCCCTGATCAGTCTGTTCAAGGCATACTTGGAATCGTTCTCTTCCTGTAATAAAGAGTTAGGTTATATTTTGATTGGACATGCTTGAAGGTAACCTTACTTTCTCGTCCCGTGATAGATACTTTATCAATTGAGTACCATTCTTGATCCGCTGCTTCTCATCGGGTTTAGTGATGTGGGAGAAATAGTCTACGACCGACTTGATTTTCTTTTCTTCATTCTTCTTCACTTCTTCTGCTTGCTCCTCGACCACGTGAACTTCTTCGGCCGCCATTTCTCACAATGACAACTGATGACAACTAATGACAGTCAGGAGCAGGAGGAGTAGACAACAACTTTTGGTTGGCGCCTCAGGAATGCCAACCCTACTTTAGCATTCCACAGTTGGCAACAATTTCCAAATGCGAAGTGTTTATATTGCTGCGAAATTGTTTGGTTTCGTGTGTCAAATCGTTGTTAATTGGTGTCAATTTGTCGAGGAATAAATCTTAGGTTGATCTATATTTGCTTAAGAATATTGCGAATAGCTGTCCGTGGTTTCTTCAGTTACGCGCGGAAAGTGTCCATTGAGAACAATGCAAACACATGTTTAGGTTGCAGGCATTGCGTTCACTGTGTTTCGGGCAGGCGCGATCCCTCAAGGTCAACAAATATGGCCGGTCGACATTATGATGATTGCGATAATAGGTAAATACTGAATAAAATATATAATCCTTAGTGAATCTGCGACCGAAAACGATGGGAAAACGGCGGGGCCCGTCTGCACTTCGATGGGTATGAAAATTTTGGCGGGATCGATTCATCAACGCGCCGAATTCCGACGAAAATAGACGGCTCCGTCGGACCCACCACAAGCCGCACTTGATGCACATGCTTTATTTCGATGCTCAACACCAATTGTTTATGATCCGCATTGGTACCAGGCACACTGTGATCCTATGTGTAGTAACCCAAGGATGCTGCATCCTAGCTATCATGAAGTTGAGTATAACTCTGCGTTTTTTTTCTGTGCACCTCTAGGGATTATGGGGGTGGCGGCGGTCGGCGCCCTAAGAAGCCCCTGCCAATGGAGCCTCCTTACACTGCGTTCATTGGGAACCTGCCCTCCGGACTCGTCCAAGGCGACGTGAACAAGATTTTTCCAGGTTTTACCATTAAGAACATTAGGCTTGTTATGGACAAGGATACTGATCGTTTCAAAGGATTCTGCTATGTGGAATTTGACACCCGCGAAGACCTTTCTAAGGCCATTGCTATGGACGGCATAGTGGATGTACAGAATCACATAATTAAAATTGATGTTGCTGAAGGTAAATCAATCACTCTCTTGGTGGCATCAAACAATTCAATCTTATACGTTTTACTTATTTCTTATAGGCAAAAGAAACGACAGGGGAGGTGGTTTCGATAGAGGTCGTGGTCGTGGTGGGATGAGGTCCGGCGGCGGTGGTGGAAGGTCCGGAGACCATCGAGGCGGTGGCGGTTTCGGTAACGACGATTTCGAAAGGAGGGGCGGCGGAGGTGGTCTCGGCGGAAACCGAGGTGGAGGCTTCGCAGGTAATTTCTTCAAACCCCTTTGGCAAATTATTGATTTCTCTTACAACTCAATGCACCAACTTCAACAAGAATTTCTCAAAATATTAAATTACCACATTACATGGAAAACATCTTACATAATGTAACATACTTTATTAATTTTCAGATTTTTCACTGAATTTATTTTAATATTAATCCATCACATTTCATAACTATTTTTTTTAAGAATGAAGATTATAATATATTCAATGTTACTTCTAAGTTAACAGGTCCATTGAAGTGGTGGAAACTACTTAGGTCTAGTACTTCAATCCACTGTTGATCCATCCTTTAACTATACTTTACTCCATAAAACCATCTTATCAATGGACAACGTTTGGTTACTGATAGTTAAAGGTAAGATACAGTTAGGATGAAGTACTGGTTTAAGACTTTTAGCTGGGCGTGTATATTATATATTAATAATTAACCATTTAATAGTTTTGTTGTTGTTGTTGTTGTAATATTTTCGTTTGTATTCCAGATCGCGATAGAGCTGGTCACCGAGGAAATTACGGTAACTTCGGAGAAGACGGAGGCGGCAACTGGGCCAACCGAGGAGGTGGCGGTGGAGGAGGAGTAGGTCGCGACGGCGGCGGTGGTGGTGGCAGAGGATTCGGAGGCGGTGGTCCAGGTGGCGGAAGACCTCGCGGGGAACGCAAACCTTCTTTCAACGAAGATTTGCCGTCACCTCCAGCACCTGGTCAGTATTAAAACCGTTTTTTTACAATCACTCAATAACTGCGAATTTTACTAACGTTTTTGCTCGTTTCTTTTAGATACATCAAATAGAAGGAGATTGCAACTACAGCCTCGCACCATTACGGCTCCGGTGAATGCAATGGCGGAGACCTCGCAGACATCGACGATCTTCGGAGGTGCTAAGCCGCGCGAGGAAAAGATGGAGAAAAATTAAACTGTTATATATAATGATTATATTTTTATTTCTTAAAAAAAAGGCATATAAGTCTGTGGGTCCGCGCAGCGTTTTTCTCTCTCTCTCTTCATCTTTCTTTTCAATTTCTTGATAATCTACTTTATTATTAATATTACACAACAATATTTTTTTGTTTTGTTTTCGCCTCGTCTCGCCCTACGAATCCTGAATTATTTTTATTATAATAATAATAATAATTTAAGACGTTTCATGTGCGAGCACGAAAAGCGGAAAGAGTGAGATTAATTTTATAACAATAATTATAAAGAAGAAAAAAAAACAATAAAATAAGAGAGAAATAAGTCAGACCTCTTTCAAAATAATTGTAACTAATTAATTGGCCTTTTCTTGACGGCTCATCTATATCGTTTTTGAATAATATTAAATTGAAATTTATGATTTATTAACAACAACAAAGAAAAAGAAATAAATATTATAAACCGGTTAAAAAAAAACGAAGCGAAACTTTATTCAATTCAGGACCACACAGATCGATTATACTTTCGGAAGAAGAAAAAAAAAATTAAAAATATGAAAATGTAAGAAAAAGGGAAGAACATTAATATTATTATTATTCTTTTTTTTTTTAATTTAAGAAAGTAAAAATAAACACGAAAAGCAATGTTTTATTATTATTGATATTGTCTCTTATATAATAATGTAAGTTTCTTTATTTGTGCGTTTTCAATTGCACCATTTTACATTTATTATAATAATAATTATTATTTTTTTAAAACTGATTTTAATGCCGTTTTGGCATTGTAATAGTAGTAGTAGTTAGTGACGAGTTTTAGTGATCACGATCATGTCTTTTGTGAAAGATGTACGCACTTTCGCTCCTCCGCATTTTTTCCGTTTGTTGTTTTTATCTTTTTTTGTTAATTATTTCTTTTGTTTATTTTAAGTAAACATTGTGCAGGCTATCGTTTTCTCTCTCCGCCAGTTTTTCTCACTTCAAAAATGGGAACGAATCAAAGGAACGTTTATTTTTTGCTATTTATTTTGCATGTATTTTTACATGTCGATGTATAAACTAATTAAAAGAAAAATGAGAAAATAAAGTTAAATAAAAATAATGTATAGATGGAAAAAAAATTATAACGAAAAAAATATATACAAAAGTAATAACTTCGAGTCTTATATTATATCTCCTATTTAAGTAAATAAATATATATATATGAAATTGCGTTTCGATAACTCATTTTCATTGGAATTACTAGAATTTTCAGTTTCTAAAGATAATTCAATTCTCGACAGTATGACTTAAGTCATTAAAGCAGTAACATAGTTTCAAATCCTTTGAAATGCAGCTAATTCAAGTGAAATGCTTTCTTAATGAATAATCGCAAATAAACAATTTTCTAAACTAATTTATTTTTAGTAGGGTTCAAATGAAGCGAGTATTCATATATTAGTGTGGTTTCATCGGTTTGGCTGTTTCTGAGAAAATCAATAAATGTGAAAACACTGCTTTTTTAACGTTTTCTCAAATTTAAACACTAATT